GAGCCAGCTGTCTCCTTCTGCTCTATTGCCCAATCGAAAGGCGGCCAGCAATGGCTTTGCTAACTACTTCTGGGCCAGCCAAAAGTTATCTCAGTTACGCACAAGCCGAGGGCTTAGGCGGGACTATTCCGTCCGAGTCCGAAACGCCCAAGCCAACGGCAACTGGCACTATAATTAGGAATTAGAAATCAATGACAAATCGCTTTTGACATCATCTCGGCCGCTGACTCAGCGCAACTCAGCTAAATCTACTAACTAAAAATGAAATTCCCATTTGGCGAGCTTAATTATTTATAGTTTGGTAAGCTGTTTTTGGGCTTGGCATTTGCATATTTCCGCGGGTTTAATATTATTTTTGGCTTATAATCATCAGCTGCGGTTCGCAGAGCGAGGTGGAAGTGGAGAGAGTGGGGTCAATTAAGTGCCATTAATTTGCCTTTTTAATTAATAATTTATTTTTTAATTTATTTAAAGCCGCTGCTCAAATCCCGCCGTCTATCTCGCTCCGCGCCGCGCATTCGTGCATATAAATTATGCTAATTAGTTACAGCTACCGCCTGACAATTTAATACATATATTTGCATTCGTTTTATCTGATCTGTTATATATTTTTTAATTAAAGCTTATTAAAACTGTCGCTCATGGACTCGCCCCTCCCCCCAGCCTCTTATCACTCGGCATAAATATGTGTATTTACTTTTACACTTAATTTATGACTTTTAGCAGTCGCCGTCGAGCTGGGAAACTGGCATAATAGTCACCGAAAGCCTAGAAAATATTTAAATGAATTTTCTGTATTTTTCTCTCTCTTCTCTCTGTCTCTTTCTCTTATTTTTATTTCTTTTTTGCCCGCTAAAAATGTTTTAATTATGTCAGAAATGATGTAGCTCGCTTGGCAGCAGATTGAAGTTGACCCAAAAAAAAAGGAAAAATAAAAACGAGCAACGCAAAGAGGCAGAAAAGAAGAGGCGATGACGACAAAACCGGTTGCCTAGGTCTGAAATCGGAGTCGGAGAGTATCTGATGTCTGGGAGTGGAGTCTCCTCCGGCTCGTAAATATCAGCTTTATGACCAGCCTCAATGCGAGTGTCCTCCGCTCTTTTATTTCTTCTCTCCTTTTTTCGTTTTTCGCTTTTCGCTTGTGGCTGCCACTTAGCCCCTGCCACGCCCACCTACCGCCCCCGCAGACAATGTTTGGTTAGACAGCTTCCGACGCTGTGTTTTCCTGCCCCGCATTTATTTTATATTTATTTTTTGGCGCTTGACAACCGCCGACGCCGCTTGCACTTGGATTTGGTTTTATTTTCAGTTTGGGTTACTCTTTTATCCCCAGCGGAGAGCGGCATGAAGTATCTTTAATGCGCTTTGCGTCATTTCACTTCGAACTGCTTTCGTTACTTCTGCGGCAGCACTCGCGACTTGAATTCAAAAATAACCAACTCTTGCATCGGGCTGTCTCTGTTTTATGCCTTTTATTTGCATGTTTCCCCTGCCGTTGCGGCTGTGTTTTTGTTTAACTTGGCTTTTTGTTTGCCCTGCCCGGCCATTATTGGGTTTATTTATCCGTTGATGACTTTTAAATGGCAGCTGTTCTGCAGCTCCAGCCGACGGCAAAAACGACGTCTAAATACAGTCAATTAGAGGAGAAAACCTTTTGGTTGACCTATCCCGCTCCATCTGAGGCCTGCACTCGAGCGATTAGTCGTCACTCATGGACATTGGAACTGGCCTTCGACAGCGATGAATCAATCGAGTCGCAGCGAATTGCTTTTTCAATTTTCCAAATTGCAATTAAATCTTTTCAAAGGAATTGCTGATAAGGAACACGGGTTACCCTGTCAGTCATCAGCAATCTATATTCGCCTAGATGGGTTTTTTATATAATAGCAATTAAATGGAAATCCCATTAAATGTAAGCAGTTCGAGACTGATTAGAAGGATGTCGTAAGTAGTTTTGGTTAGAAAGAAAAAGTGTCCACCTTGAATGAAGCAACGATCTGGGAAACTACGATGGACAGCCATGCCCTTTACTCCTAAATTCCAAAAAGCAGCCCTCGAACTAACCACTTGATCGGCGAACTCATTTCGGCCTGGCTAAAATGTCGATTAAGCGAAAGCACTCAAGTACGGCACTCGAGCGGCTGGACGGGGCATTATCTGCGATGCCCACACATGGAACAGTAATCCAATCAGATGGGAATGGGAATGGGAATGGGGAATGGGAATGTGAATATGCGAGTGCGAATCCAAAGTGCAGCTTAGTAATGCCAGACGGAACGAGACGGGGCCAGACGAGAAGGGGCGGCACCTGCCCATCGCGGTATGAGTGACGACAATGGCGATGACCTCGCATTCGAAATGGGGCGAGTAGGGGGCGGCTTCGAGGGGCCATCACTCACCCGGTCGCATGCAAATGGCCCCAGCAGCTGATAGTTGATTGCTCAAACGAAATGAAAACAAACAACCGACGCTGTCAGCTGGAGAGGCGATCTCTAGTATATTTTAATTACACTTGTGTGAATGCCGCCGACGGCAATTGAAATATTTTTCCGTCTCTAATCTACGACCAATTTAATATGAATTGAATAAATGAATAGATGGCAATCGTATTTTGGAGCTCGGCACTGGAAGAGGGGGTGAATCCCGGGGAGACTGCGGCACCATTCAGGAAACGCGCGGTGCCTTGTTTAGATTTGGCGTCCAAACGAGATTGCTTTCCACGGCAAGTGCTGATAGATGGGCCTTGTGCCCGCCCTGCTGGGTTTCTTTTTATCAGAAAATGTTAGTTGGGCTTTGCCAAGGATTGAGAAACAATAAGAAATTGTAACGCTAACATATGACAAAGTGTTATAAATACTTAGAAACCAATTTCGGTTGTTTTTCAAGCAACTTCGAAATCACATCTAAAAGTCGCGTAAAATGTTGTCCTAGTAAACCCGCCTTGGATCTGTGGTTGTTTTTCAGAGATTTCCGAGACGTCACCACCAGCTGGCCCCGAGCCATTCCCGCTATGGTTCCGTCGTGCTCCAATTGGGCCTGTCTCGTCTTTCCCAGTTGATTCATAAGTGGAGTCAAGACAACTTGGACGCGGACACGGACACGGACACGGACGCGGACTGTGACTTGCTTAGATTTAGGGCAGCCTAAAGCGGTTACTTTCGTGTCGGATGAGTCAGTTTTGGTCGCCGGGGAGCGGATGTCGTTTCGGTTTCAGTTGGAAACTCTTTTCGGCTTAATTAATTCGTTGATTGCCGTACTGAATCCTCAGCGGGTTTCACTCGGCTGTGCATAAATTAATCAGCTATTTACTTCCTGGAACCAAGCAGCTCCCATGGAACCGTCGCCAATCGCTTCGGCCCGCAATCAATAATGGAAAGCACACGTTTTCCCGAGGGACCTTGGGCCGAGCTAAAACAATTTCACCCGATAACATCTCGCACTTCCTGCCGGCTCAAACTCCCGGCTCAAACCATTAGATTTTTTCTCTGTTTTCGCCTCGCAACAGCGGCATAATGTGGAGTCGTAAACATTGGTTTGGCATTGTGGGCAAGACGGGGAAAAACTAGCAGAGTCTCAGACAAAGGCAAATTAATTATACCGTTGAAACGAATGAGCTTGAGGTATGGTGGTTAGAGAGCACAGTAAGGCATAGAAGTTCACCTGATACTAGGGGATGTTCTGAAAAAGAGTATTAACTGAGGCATCTCCTGCCTTAGAGACTGTTTGCTGAATCTAAATCTTAGGTTCCTAACTTTTTACTGACAGCTGACATTGTGGAACTTTAAACAATTTAAGAGAAGGAAGCCCATCATAGTATTGGGTATAATAACAGCCATTACTGGAAATGAGTAAAGTTTGGAAGCAATGTCTGGGCTATAAACTGGGCACTTTGAAGTGCGTGCTTCTCGATTCCCCTTCATGAGTAGACACAAAACGAAGCGAAGGCATTTTTCGAAATTCGCTTCGGTTCAAAGGTTTCCGATTAGCGAGGGACCTCTGTGCGCAGACGTTGCCTCAACCCGCCGCCAAGTCTTCCATCATCAATGACAATAATCAATCACAGCTCACCGCAGATGAGGCCAAAAACCCAAAGGCGGGGCCACACCGAACGAGGGGAAAAGCGGAATGGGGCTGAAAATCAAATTAAGGCTAACACAAAGGGGGCTGTGTGAGAAGAGTTGGCCACAAAAGCCGTCGGCAAAGGAGGAACTTTTCACTTGCACTAGCTCTTCGCTGGTCTGTACTTGAATTGAAAACACAATTTACTTAATTTTTGCATATCTCGCTTTCAAATTACGTTGCATAATTTTGAATAATTTTATTCGTATTTTTTGTGTTGCTTTTTCTGTGGCTTTTTATGCTTTACTCGCCTCTTCTCTTCTCTTCTCTTCGGTAATAATTTTGCTTTTCATATTTTTATATTCTTTCGGTAAATGGTTGTTATAACATTTTGTTGATTTTTAATTAAATATGCGTATGTGTAATTTTTAGCAATTGTTGTTGTTGTTGTTGTTTGGTTGGTTGGATCTTGTTGCCGTTGTTGCTGTGGTTGCAGCTGTTGTTATTATTGTTGTTGGTTGCACAGAGCGCTTGTGGCTTCTTGCTGTTTGCTGTTTCTTGTTGGTTGTTTCTTGTTTCTTGTTTCTTTTTGTTTGTTTAATTTAAATTAAATTAATTACTAAAATTATTTTATAACAAATATCACTACAATAGTTTGCATTTTTTTGTTGTTTGTTTTTGTATCGTTTATCATTACTACCATTACTAAAAAAGAAAAAAAGATCGCTCGTTTCTCTCTCTCTCTCTCTCTCTCTTTTCTCACCGTCGGACAACAATTTCCCATAGCAGCTAAACAGAATTGCGAATTGCGAATTGCGATTTGAATTTTCATCTCTTAATATTCCGTAGAGTTAATTACTTTTGATTCTAAAAGCTTTGAGGGGTGTGTATATATAGTACTGATGGGGGAGGATCTATTGGTTATTCCTTGAGGCGGCTATTTCATCGACGCGTACTTGGTAGGCGCCTGTCTCATGTTGCAAGTTGCTGCTCTTCCTGCTGCTGCTGCTGATGTTGCCGTTGTCCTTTTTGTTGTTGTTGCTGCTGCTGCTGCGGCATCACACGTTGTAGCAGGAGATCTGCGGCAGGTGCTGGAATGTTGGCGTGGCCGCCACCGCCGTGGCCGCCGAGCTGAACGGCACGAAAGAAGTCTGACCGGCGGCAGCGGCGGCGGCTGCCAAGTTGAGCGACGCGGCCGCCGCATACGGGTGCATCCGCTGCGAACGCAAGTACTGGCGGTACTTTCCGCTCAGCTTGTCCGTGGCCGTGTTCACCGCTCCCGTCGCTCCCGCACCGCTCACCGCCGAGCCCCCGCCCACTGACGCCGACCCACCCGTGGCTGCCCCAGAGGTAGGCGTGGCCGAGTAGAGGCGCATGGGATTGGTGTCAGGGCCGGCCTGATAATTGCTAGGAACTGTGGCCATCGGCGAGCGGTCCATCAGCATGGACGTCGCGTCCCAGGGCGGAGGAGGCAGGCAGTGTTGCTGTTGCTGCTGTTGCAGCTTCCCCGAGGCGACCGCCGTCTGTCCGTAGTTGCTGCCGGAGATCATGGCATCCCGCTTGCCGCCTCCTGCCCCGCCGCCGCTGCCCTTGGCCGCGTAGTGAGAAGCGGCATGAGGGTGCAGCATGTGGTGGGGCGTTAGGGCGGTGCGGGCGGCTAACGCAGCAGCCAGCTGATCCCACTGGCCGGCGGCTGCGGCGGCTATCGAGGCATGGGCCTGGGCTTGTACCGCCGCAGCTGCCGCCGCTGAGTTGGCTGCATGGCTCTGACTTTGGCTTTGGCTTTGGCGTTGGCTTTGGTTGCTGGTGGCACGTTGCTGTTGCTGTTGCTGCTGCTGCTGTTGCTGTTGCTGACACAAAGCATGTCCGCCGTTCAAGTTGCGGGAATGCGGGTTGTTGACGCTATCGCTCAGCGGGAGTATTCCTGTAAGAAAAATAATTTCCAGTCATGAGAATGAGGAATGTGTGTTTGTTTGGTGTTTGTTTTCTGATTAACCCACTATCGGAGTGCTTTTAATCTCTATTTTATGTCGTGCCAGTGGTTTTGTTTATCGGTTTCACTGTATTTCCGTTGAAATGTATTTTATGTCGAAAATCATACAAACATAATCTGGGAATCATTTGACAATTTTTTTCATACAATCCAAACTTATGGTGTGATATTAAGTTTCAAAAATCTTGCTTTTTATAATTTAGAAATTTATAATCTGTGGGCTGTTAATTTTTTCTTTTCACTGTAAGCTTTAACAACTGGTAAAGAAGTCTTTTTTCTGATTGATCGATTAATTACAACAAACAAGCTTTCTCGTCAGCGTTTAAAAATGGCTAGCATAGATTATTATATTATTATAAACATAAGTACATTTTATCAATCGTCGAAACTAGTTTAAACTTGGTGAAAACGAGGTTAATTTATATTGAAAAATCATTTTTAAATCTTTCATTAAGCATTTAAACGATAAACACTTTCTGTACATTTTAACATACTAAAGAAAAGATTAAAATTTAGCAATTTTCTTCCTTTATTCCTTGTTCTTTGTTCAGGTATAAGAGATTAATAACTAATCAATATATTTCACTTATCGCAACGCTTGATATCAGCCAAACTGGAGACATTGTCAGGTTACCAAAAATATTAATATACGAGTATACTCCATAAGCGTTTCCAACTTTGAAAGAACAATCCGATCAGGCAAATTTCATTTGATGAAAGGAAGGAGGAAAGTAAGTTCTTGAACTTTATATCACACAGTTTATTAAATAAAACACCAAATTAACCAGTAGTCTAAAAAAATAAAAGTTTTGTCACTTTGAAAAGAAATTACAGAAAGAACAATAAATTAAACTTTAAAATTATTCCACAGCGACAAAGTTCACGACAATAAAATGCCTTTTTTTTGGTTAAGACACAGCGAGTGATCACAGAAAATCAAATTTTATGAAAGGCTACACTTTGAGTTATGTTTATATAAAAAATTTGGAATTTGAAACTTTGATATGGGTTGTCGCGTTTAAGTCACAGAAAAAAGATTTTACTTTTAATAATTGATAACTTTGAAGTATTTAGAATCCTAAAAACTGATTTTATTCGATTACTTACCGATCTGCTGCTGGCGTTGTTGGTAGCGCTGTTGTTGCTGCTGCTGCTGTTGCTGGTAGCGTTGTTGCTGTTGCTGCTGTTGTTGCTGCTGCTGCTGGGCTGTTGTGGCAGCCCTGGCTCCCCGCCTCGCGGCACTGCTACTGGGAGCCGTGGCCACCGCCGCACCGCTTCCGCCTCCGCCTAAGGCCGCTCCACTGCTCAGCGAACTGCTGCTGACCGCCCGAGCGGTCGCATGCATGTTGTTCACGAATGGACTCCGACGCTGGGACTCCATCTTGCGGAAGTAGCACGGGTGGATCATCAGCAGCGGCTCCACCCTTTGGCCCGCCGGCGGCTTGGGCTGGTTGGGCAGCTCGTACTCCACGCTGCAGTCCACGTGCAGTGGGATGCTGTAATCCTTCTGGGGTGACGGAGCGGGAGCTGAGTTGCTGTTGCTGCTGCTGTTGGCAGTCTGTTGTTGTTGTTGTTGTTGTTGTCTGCTATTGGCAACTGCGGCGGCGACCTGCGTTTGGGCCGCCGCCGCGTGGCTGTGGCGCGAGTTGCTGTTGTTGTTGGCGGGCTGATGGAGTTGTTGTTGCTGGCGGTGATGCTGCTGCTGCTGCTGCTGCTGTTGTTGCTGCTGCTGTTGCAGCAACTGTTGCTGGTGTGCAGCCACTGCAGCGTGGTACATGTGTTGCTGTTGCTGCTGGTGGTGATGCTGCTGCTGCGTTTGGCTGTGCTGCTGCTGCGTCTGACTGTGCTGCTGCTGCTGCTGTTGCTGCTGCTGCTGTTGTTGCTGCTGCTGCTGCTGCTGTAGGGCGGACAGGGCCGACATGCCGTGCGACAGGGACGACATGTCGTAGTTGGCATAACAGGCGGCCATCGTCATAGCTGGTTTCAGGGGCTCTTTTAGCTTTTGCTCTCGTTTCGATAACACAGAATTCGCTTTTGGTTGATTTTTACTTTTTAGATTTCAGATTTTTAGCATTTTGCGGGCGTTGTTTTCGCTTTCTTCACTTTCGAAAAAATTCACTTTTGTGGTTTTTATTGGCACTGGTAATCCAAAAAGAGCGGCTAACGGTAATTTGCCGCTGCAGGTAATCCGTGAGTGTGTGTGTGTGAGTTATGTGTTGGTTGTTTCTTTTATTTTGCGTTTGCTTTTGTTTTTGTTTTTTGAGATAGGAGGAACCTTAATCCATATGTGTTTGCTTTGGAATTCGCTTTAACTTTAACCCGTATAATATTTAGCTGCTGTTCGCGTGTTTAACTTTGTTTCGTTACGTTTATTGTATATATTATTAGCGTTTTAATCAGTCTTTGTTTGGTTTTACATAAATGCAGCGAACAGTTGGAGCTGCTGGGTGAGTGTGTGTGTGTGAGAGGTGTTGGGGTGTGAGTGAACAATCCACGTGTGTGTTTTCAGTCTTTTTGCCCGTGTTTCGCTGGCTTAACTTAACCGTTGCTTCCTCTGTCTCCGTCTCTCTCTCGTTTTCTTTCTATCATTCGGTTCTGTTCTTTCTCGCGGAGTGAGTTCGCGGAGCAGGAAAATTTTTAGTTCCACGAGCAATGCGGTTCACAAGACTTTTCCCGGCCGAGTTGAAAACCCGACTGCCGTGTGTTGTCCGCGCTGGTACTCTCAACTGTTTGACGTCTACCGCGACGTTGGCAGCATGAGAGAGAGCAAACTTCTCTTTTTAAACGGGAAACTATATGGCTGCGCTGCGCTGTCTCTGCCAGCGTCGGAGAGAGGTTTGCTGAATGCTGAATACAGAGAGCGCTGAACGGTGAGCGGGAGAGCACGCGCGAGAGCGATTGCGAGAGAGCGCGCACGGAAAACAGCTGTTGGCTCGACGCCTGTGTTTAGGCTTTGTTTTTGTTGTTTGCCTTTGCTTTTGCACACCTTTTGTATCACAATTTGCCACAGTTTCGTTTATTTTTCAGGTTTTTCAACGGCCTGTTCACTTTCAACGCGACATTAACCCTTCACGACTCGATTCTTGGTTAATTATCCGGTTCAGAGCGCTCTATATTTTCTTAGATGTCCGTACGATTCGAGCTCTGAAAATTGAATGAATATCAGAGAAACAAGACGACTTGGCTCGCTGTCGCTGCGCTGCCGCCCTTCTGCCGACGCCTACCTGCTGTTCGGCACAGCTGATGTTCCGTGACGTATTCAGCACGCACACTCTGGCATTGTTGTTGTTGCCTTGCTGCTGAGAGCCAATTGCATTCAATGGCAGCATATGGCCGCTCTCTCTATGCGTGCGTGAGTGCCGAGGTGTGCGAGTGTGTGTGGTACACATTCAGCCATGTTACTACACGGCGGCCATCTTTACAACTGTTTTGGGCGAGAAGGAGAGCAAAGAAAGAGAGAGAGTGCGAAAGAGAGAGACGGGACGGACCGAGAGAGCTATTATTTTGTAATACGACTTTTTTTTCGTTCAAGTGCTTTAATTTTTTACGGCAAACGCTTTTTTGGGAGCAGCTTTATGGGCTCGTAAAAGCAGATGGGGCCTAAAGGGGTTAATGGCGAGTTGAGAGCTAATTGAGTCGCACTAAAACAGGGAATAAAATAAATCTGTTAGTGGAACATGCTTACCTGAGGTAAGCTAAAATAGAAAATTAAACAACGAGACTTAAACGCCAACTAACCCAATAGAAATGCACCTTTGAACACACCTAGTTCATAGATATAACATAAAACGCCCAAGAACCTCCCTGGTTTTTGAATACGACATCCTAAACTGCGCACTGAGAGACTTTTCTGCAGGCAAACAAGAAAAAAGAATTACAAAAACTCAAACAGACAGCGATATTAAACATTTCTGCACTAAAAAGTGGGCAATTTAAGTCGGGAAAGGGCACTATCTCGTTCTCTCTCTTTCTCTCTCTTTCTCGCACGCATTCCGAGAGCGAGATGGAGCGAGGGAGAGAGAGAGCGGCAGAGTCAGACGGAATTACACACATTGTAATAAATAAGGAAGGTCGTTGCCATAGCAGCAGCCGCCGTTGGCGTCGTTTTTTTCCCCCACTTATTGTTGTTGCAGTGGCAACGACGCTCTCTCTCTCTCTCTCTCTCTCGGACTTGCTCTTTGGGGCTCATTCAGCAACTGCTGATAACGAATCAGCTGTTCTGCTGTTTGGGGAGGTGTGTCCGCATGCGAGTGTGTGCGTGAGTGACGACTGTCTGGCTGCCTCTCTTTTATACGTTTCGTTTTTGTTTTTTCTTCCAAGCATATGTTTGTTGGAAATTGATGTTGGTTTTGTTGCTGTTTCGGTCTCGATGTTGTTGTTGCTCGCAGTCTCTTTTGCTCTTTGTTGTTTGATGTGCAAAATGTGGGATTTGGTATTTTATTGATTGCATTCAATGTTTTATGTTAAATGTTAAGCTAATGCTATGAAATATTAACACTTGGTAGAATTTAAATATTAGCAGCTTAGAATCAACCTTAAGTACAGCATTTATAGTTTGGCCTTACATTGAAATTCAACTTAAAATCCTAAACTTCAAACGTGATATGAAAAGAGAAAATACATTAATTTACCTTTTTATTTAGGTGTGGTACCAAGCTGATTTTTCATTTTAAACTGTAAGGTTGTTGCTTTACCAATGTTTTTGCTGTAAACTTGCTAATGAACTGTTGTCATTGCCTCTGAAATTGTTGTTAGTTTCGGGAGTGCTGTTGCCGTTAATACTTCCCCGCTAGTGGTGTTGCGTTTGGTTTTGTACGTTTTTGCTGCTGCTTTTAGAGTGTCTTCTCTATTGTTGTTTCCGCTATGTTATTGATATTGGTCTTGGATCTGAAGTTGCTGCTGTTGCAAGTTTTGTTGCGGCTGCTGTTGCTGTTGCTGTTGCTGCCAATTCGTTGCACTTGTGCCTCCCTTTGTCTGCTTTTCCTTAATCGCTCTTCTGTCTGCTGCTGCTTCAGCCACTCTGCTTTCGGCCTCTGCTTTTCTGGTGCCGCCGTGCTTCTGCTGTTGCTCATGGGCTTGATGTTGCTGCCGTGATGTTGCTGCTTGCGTGCTTAATGACGAGTCGGCCGCATTACAGTTTGATTACGGGGCCGCCAATTTGGAAATTACCAAACTGCTCGAATTAGAGACTGCGACTGAGTGAGCCCATGGCTCAACTCCAAGCGAACGGCTAAAGTCGAAGAACAAAAACAAAAACAAAAACAGGCAACAGGAAATTGGCCAAGACTGGCACCAGTAATAACAACAACAAGAATAGCAACAAAACAGCTAGAAAATTTAGGGAAATTAGAAATTCTAGACAGATAATGGTTTACTCTAGTGGGGTTGGTTAAATTGCAGAACAAAAGCGGCATTTAAATGCCTCAAAATAGGGCCTATTCGGATTTTAAGTTCTTTAAACTGCTTTACATGGCCACACCCGTGTATCTTTACGGCATTCTGAACTTTAAATTGGAAATAGCTTCACAGAAAATTGGAAACAAACATTTGTTTTCTTCATTAAGCTTAGCTTCACAAACATCTGGACATTAGTGGAATGTTGTTTATGTTTCTTTGCCGTTTCGTGGTAAATGGACAATGGATTAGTTTGCCTTAAACGCAAATAAAGAATGATTCCTGTTTCTGGAATAACAGAGATCCCAACTGATTGTATGCAAAGCTGCCCAGACTTAAAACAGTATTATTTCTAGGGTTGTTTGCGATCGAATATCGCCTTTCGGAAGGAGTGAAATGTATAATTTTGTACAATTTCCATTTAAATGCAGCTCTATGATAAGATTTTCCCCCAGGGTCATTCTTTTGATCTGCAGTTTTGGGATTTCTGGCACTCGCTCATTAAATCGGTCCAGCCCACATTTCCTGTTCCTCTAATCTCCGTCATCGTCTCCTTTTATTGTTTCTTTGTGCTATCGGCCTCCTCTTTCGCTTCCCTCGCTCCTTTTCCTCCCTTCTGGCATATCGAATTCATAACTCAACTGCCTTTCTCTTGTTAAAGTCACATCCACAGTCCTCCGATCCCTCGTCCGATCCCCTCGTCTGGTGCGCCCGGTACAGTGAAGCCTGGAGGAAACCTGTTTGCATTATTGAGTAACCGCTATGCCGGGGACTGTGTCCGAGTGCGACCGGTTGCGCTGCATGGCTTCTTCCTAAGAAGATTGCCGTTCTGCCGTCGCTTCTATTCCCCGATGTCCGAAGGAAACTTTCGTTTTTTATACCCGGTACCCGATGGGGGTTATGGGTATATATGTACATAAGTATGTACATGTACGGCCTTTCAAAAACCATCCATTTCTTGGTAGCTCTGACTTTCTTAAATTTAACATGAATGGCTAAAATGTTCATATATTAAAAGAAGAAATAATATCCTTGTTTTATAATTATCACAATGTTTAGATGGTTAAACTTCTCTTATCTGCAATTCACTAACTAGCTTATAATAGTGTGTCAAGTGATTAATAAGAAATTATTTCAGATATCAAATATCAAATCAAATATTAAAGTATTGGATTGCCTTTATTACATTAGAAGGAAATTAACCTGAAAGATTTTATAAAAATATATATTTAGGATCTATTATAAAGATGTCATTTTTATTATATTTTATAAATTTATTGATGTTCTACAAACTGCAACTTAAACTATTTTCGATCGTCTTGCTATAACTTTTTAATTCCCAATGCTGATTAATTTGAAGACATCTGCTTGCAGGGTATCATTCGATCGAGTGGAGCGATCTGCCCCGTTCATTTTGTGGGCCCCCTCTTGTGATGTTGCAGTTGGCTGTCGGTTTGTCTGGCCCGCTTGTTAATTCGAAATAAAAACAGGAAAATTTACTTTACAATCTGTGCTAAAATCGTAAATTTTTAGCCCGGCTCAGGGGAGCGGCTGTTGCCGTTCCACGTCCAGTTCCGCAGGTAAGACGAGGCAGGCAGGCAGGCACGGCAAGGTAGGCTAATCCGCTTGGGCATGACAACGATGACTATTTGTTCTGGGCCCGGATCTCCTGCCTCACCGCCTCTCCCCTCCCCTCCCGCTGGCCAACCACTCTGTTTGCGGTTCCACGTATTCTCGTACTCTCGAATTCTCTGGCCGTGCCTAGTTGTTATCTTTTCTTATTTAATTTTTGGCTGCCATTGCCGGAGTTGCCGTGCTGTCGCCGTCTAATCTCCCCGGCAATATCATCACGAACGCTGGATGCCCAGCTCAGCAGCTCACCAGTTCGCCAGCTCAACAGCTCTTCAGCTCACCATCTCCTTGGATTCTCGGTGCGAGAGCCTGGCCGTTGATTGATGCGTTTCCCATTCGGAATTTATGCCATGGACCATTTTGGGCAAGCGCTAAGCAATTCATTTTTTTCCAGCCGAGCAGTCCTTGCTGTCCCATCCACTCTTTCCCGACCACTTCAGTCCGTTCAGAGCTGCTTACTCAGCCACTTTCCCGTCAGAATTGGCTGCTTTTAAAAGGCAATAACACCCCTTTTTTGAGCAAACTCTCCATAGCTTTGATTTTAATCAAAAGAAGCCATGTCTATGAATAGAAGTGCTTGCTTGAACCCAATTAAAACCGATTTTGAACATAAATTTAAATTAACTTTACAACCCTTACTACTACTTTTTGTAATAAATTTTCTATTTCTTTCTTATAGGAAAACACCAGCAGATCGATAAAGCATCGTTTTAAGCAATACAAATAATTAAAATGTCTTCAATATTCTTAACGAGCCTATAATAAGCCCACTATAGCTAGATTTTGGCAGCCCGCAACTCTTTTTGGCTGCCTGATTTATAGCACATTTCCATAGATCAGAGTGGGCATCACTGATCGGATCCCCTCCAGCTGCAATCAGCGGCCTGATCGAGCGTGCGATACTCTGCCAGGAACAACGGCGACCACAGCAGCAGCAACAGCCACCGCAGCAACCGCGACAGCAACAGGCACAACAGCAACATCAGGAGCGTCTTGAGTGGAAGGCACGTTGCCCATGGACTTCGAACGTTGAACGTCGAACGTCGAACGTCGAACGGCAGACGACGATGGCGACGGCGTGCACGTCGAGTGAATCTAAATTGCTAAATACCTTT